ATAGAAATTGCCTTCCAAATTAGGTGCTGAGAAAGTAGGCCCGCCAGGCTGAAGACGCACTCCTTGAAATATGCTTCCTCCGTGTCCTGGGAACCAAGGATGAACCCTGGGGGTCCTAAGGTGACGGGGGTGGGGAATAGGGTCTGGCTGGCGGTCCCCCGCCCTCCCACTGGGGGTGGGGGCCCTAGACACTGCGGCGAAACGCTGCTCAGCTATTAAGAGCTAAGAGCATGAAGTTTGACTTAAGGTAAATACATTCCGATCGGGAAGACCTGCGTTTTCTGGACTCTAAGTGAAAAAATTCAAGCCGTACCTTTTAGGAAGGAAGTAAATGAAATACTAAGTATCTGAATATTCCTAACCTCCTTCCCCCTGGCATTGTAAGTGTAAGAACACAGGAGAGAGCCGTGAACAGCACCGTCCACTTATTAAAATGTACCTATTTGGCGCACAGAAAGGTCGTTCGGTAAAATCGGAAAATGCCCATGTCCCTGTCCTCCGGCTGTCTTTAGTCTGCCCCTGAGGTCTGTCCGCACCTGCCATGCCCCAGAAGGGGCTTGGCGGCACATGGCACCGTGGTTACCGGGGTCAGCTGTGTCCACAGCGTCTCCTCCTAGGTGTCTGGGGGACTCGGGCTGGACATCCAAGCTTACGCACTGTGCCTTGCAGATCGGGGTCCCTGGTGGGTACAACAGCTAAGAAGTCTAGTGGCCCCTTTCTTTTCTGCAGTTGGGGAAAAGAGTTGAGAAGAGGAGAAATCCCCCTCACCAGCACCATCACCAATCATCACCACCGTGCGGGGGCCAGCAAGACGCGGAGGGCGAGGCCGGTTTGCTCGGTTTCCTGCTGCTCCTGAGGGGCTTGTGGGAGCTTTCTAGACCTGCCCAGGCCCGGGAGGCCGGCTGGGAGCCTGCCAGGCTGGCCTGAAGCTGAAGAGCTGGGGTAAACTCGGGGTGGGGGTGCTGCACCACCGGCGGCTCCAGCCGCTGCACGCCTGACCTCGAGCTGTCCACGGCCTCGCCCGGGTGGGGGGTCGGCGGAATTCAGGGAGGCCTGATCCGGTAGGAGTGGACTCCGTTCCGGTGCGCAGCTAGCGGGGAGGAGGGAGCCCCCACTCTCGGACGAGGGCGCTGGCCTCCCGGGGGCGGACCCCCGTTCGTGCGGGCGGGCGGGCTGAGAGCCGCTCCGGCTCCCGGGGTGGCCACGCTCTCTTCTCGCTCACGGGTGGGAGGCTGGCGCGGATGGGACAGTGTCGGGGGACTTGGGCGAACAGACACCACCGGTGGAGGCCCAAGCCTCCAAGCTGCAGGAGCTAACCCTTGTGTTAGTGACCCTTCAACCTCCTCCCGGTTGGCCAGGACCCTTCATCCAGAGTACAAGGTCTCCTGGCATTTTTATTTACTTGTATTGCGTTTTGTTTCCTCGTGCTTCCGCAGCTGGAACATGATGGAAACAGCGCGCAGTATAGGAGCGGGTCAGGCATTCACGACCCGGGCAGCCCGCGTCCGCCGGGGTTTCTGGGCCGCGGGGCGCGCGCGCGCGCGCGCGCGGGAGGCGGGCGCAGAGACTCCCGGACGCGAATCCAGGACCCGCGCGAGCTCCACTCGCGGTGTGCGGAGCATTTGGTGAACTCAAACTTCGGAAATTCTCTTTTCTTCCAGAAACCAGATCCCTCTCTTCTGCTCCCTCCTGCCCCCCTCACGACTTCTTTTTTGCTGTTGTCAAGGAAAGAGATGGGCTTTCGTTTCTATCCACAAACTTCCCTGAAACCCGTTTCTTCTTTAAGACTTGGGGGGGAAAAATGCACTGCACACTTGAAAGCATCCACAGTCTCACAAGACATGTTGGGATTTTAAGAAGTCTGTTCTCTCCTCTGTTCTTGGTGCTCCTTCTTTCTGGGAGAAGCTCTCTAGAAGCTCAGACAAGCTCCCCTTATGCGGAGGCCCCAGCCAGCCCGGGAGGGTCTGCACCCTCCCCACCGGCCTGCAGTCGCCCGAGCGGAAATATAAATGTAACATTTCATAAAGTGTGCCCACCCTGCGGCCTCGGGCCATGTCTTGAATTAGCAGAAATATGTGGTGCGAACACTCATTGCCTAGGCTAAAATAGGAGGACTAACTCCACGCTTTGCTGTTTGGGTCTCTGTCTCTAAAGGGGCAATATGTCAAGGAGCCTGGTGCGCTCCTGGCTGGGGAGGGGTGTGGGTTTCAGGGGACTGCGCCCAACAGTCAGACAGAGAGGTTGCCACTTGGCTCCTCATCGACAGAAAGTTTGATTTTGTAAAACGGTGACACTCTTCACAAACCAGTAGCTCTCAGCAGAGGCAAGGCCTTCCAGGTTGAGAAGAGAAGCTAGTCGTGGACTCGGTTTCTTTTCCGAAAGGTTATTTTGAAGCCCTTCGTCTGCAGTGGAAGAGGCACCTGAGGTGGAGCTGCAGAGGTGTATGGGGGGTGAGGGGTGGGAGGAGGGTTAGTTTTTCTCCCGTTTAAAGATCTTGAATACCCAGAGTCCCGATCCAGTGCCTTTGCGGACAGTGCAGGGGGCTGCCAGAAGCTGGTTGGGGCAGGGTTCCCTGTTAGGTAGGGGTGGGACCTGAGGAGGTAGGAGGTGGGGAGCAGCCCTGCAGGGGGTCCTGGGCTGAAGGCTTGAGTCTCAACCCCCTGTTCCCTGCGGAGGGAGCTCAGGCCTTGCAAGGCCCAGGCCCTCGGGGACCCGGGGATTGCTGAGAAGGGACAGGGAAGGTTCTGGGAGGGGTGGGCAGGGTTTCCAGCACTGGGTCCCTGGGGAGCTGTCCTCCGCACCTGGGGCTGGTGGGGGTGGGGCTCTGAGGTGGGGAGGTGAAAAGAGGACAAGTTCCCTGCCCGGGACAACGGGAGAAAGTGGCTGTGCTCCAGAGTGTCGCCCCCACAACCTGCTTCTCTGTCTCTGTCTCTCTCTTCTGCTTCCCTGGGCCCTCACTGTTGGGTCTACCTGGAACAGAGATCTGCTGGGGGGTGGGGGGTCTGCAGACCCCATGGGGTGGCAGGGTTCGGCGGGGGGTGAGGACTGTCAACTCCGGGGCCGCCCGGCGTCCTCACCCCGTGCGCTCTGCGCACCCCGCTCGGGGCGCGAGCCCTCGGCGTTTCCCCCGCCGACCCGCTGCATGCATAATGCATGAGGGGCTATTTGTAATTCTGTGTGATATCTGCGCGCTTCCGCTTTGATTAGAGGGCCGCGGTGACAAAGACCTGTTTGGTAAGTTGGAAGGGCTTCTACGCCTTGCGCTTTTGAAGTCCGAAGGAGGCGGCGGCCTCTGAATTCCCCAGCTCCGGGCCCGCTGCACGCGGGGCAGAGCAGCCTGGGCCACGAGGAAAGGCGCCGGCGCAGAGCTCCCCGAGGAAGGATGGAGGGCGCGGGGACAGGAGGAGAAATGCGGGGAAGGAGGGGGAAAGTCAGGAGGGCAGGAAGCGGAGAGGGAGGGGAGGAGGGAGGGTCGCGGGGAAGGAGCAGGTCTGCTCCTCCAACTCCGGTCTCCTCCTCCTCCCCGCGTCTGGAGGTTAGGACACCCCCTGCCCCTCCCCAGACCGAGGCACCCCCGGCTGAACCCCGAGCGACTGGACGCAGGCCCCACGATGTCCGGAGAAATCGTGCCCTTTCCCTCGTCTCCGCCCGCGGAGACGTTCCGCGCTGGACGCAACGCCGGGTACCGCCGAGGGTGGCCCCGATCCTGGGCTCGGATTCACAAACACTCCGAGCGGGGACTGCCTTACGAAAAGGAAAACGAGCTTCTCCAAAAACCAGCAGCGCCCCCCTCCCCCGCACGCCGATGCCGAGAGCCGGGTCCCGACTCCCGCGGGGGTGGGAGGGGGAAAGCGGGGCGGGGGGGAAGAGACGAGGCGGTCTGACAGATAAAAGAGGGGAAAGGGGGGGGAAAGTCAACTTTATTTGCAGATGGAAATTTGCAGACAGGATGACATGCTTGACTTCCGGGATTGTAAACCGATTTCGTGTGGCTGCTGAGAAACTGGGTCCTCCTCAGCCTTGGAAAGGGCGCGAGGAAAAGCGTGGCACAACCAGAAATATCTCTATTTGCCCCCAAATAAATATCGTAGACACCAGGTTCCCAGCGCGGCTCTAGAGAAGGCTGCCTGGGTGCCCAGAGGACCGCTGTTTACAAACCAGGTCTCTCTCCGCGCCAGCCGTGACTGTCTCCGAGTCCGGACGCCCCGCGCTCCGGCGGCCGCGTCCCAGTCGCCGGCCTCCGCGGCGCCGGCCCCTCCGAGGTCTGCGAGCCGCTTTTGGCCGCCGCCGCCGCCGAGGTTCCGGCGTCCACGCTCGAGTACACGCGGGCCCCGTTCCTCCCCCTTTCGGGGTCCTCGAGCTGTTTACTGGTCACGCCGTGCGCCCCCGCTCCAACCGCTCGCTCTGCGGGCCGCGCCGCCAGGTCCGGCCCGCAATCCAACCACATCTCCGCGTTGCAGCCGATTCTCGTCTGTGGATCGCGCGTCACCGTCGCCCGGGGTCCCCTCGGCGTCTCTCCCGGCATTGCAGCGCGCGTGGACCGACACATCCTGCGGAGACAGGTTCCCGGGCGTGGGGCTGGCTGTTCTCCTGGCCGCGCGGGCCGGCGAGGACCGCCTCACCATCGATAAACTCCTCCTCGAGTTTGCTTTCCGCCAGGCATTGACGGAATGCGGGTACCTGTTTGGGGCGCTGGCGCCTGCGCCCGCTGGCGCGCGCGCGCGCTCTCTCCCTTCAAAAAAATTGGATCTTTACCTCTCCGCACCAAGGTGCTCAGACGCCCAACAGTGATGAAATGAACAGAAAGCCAATTGCCGGACTGGAGGTGGGGGAGAGATAGCATCTCTGCGTGCGCCCGCCGCCGAGCCAGGAGCCGTAATTGCTGCAGACAGGGAGCGCTGGGGGTTGGGCGGACGTGGCCGTGTATAAATAGTGAGATCTCAAATTGAAAGGCATAAATAACAGCAGGAACGATCTACCCTCACACCGACAAGTTCTCTCCGCGCGGGGAGGCGTGCGGACCACAGCCCGGCTCCCAGCCAGCCCCGCCGAGCCCCGCGGACCCCGCAGCCCCGCGCAGCCATGGAGGAACTCACGGCTTTTGTATCCAAATCTTTTGACCAGAAAAGCAAGGAGAGTAGCGGCGGCGGCGGCGGCGGCGCCGGCAAGAAGGATTCGATCACGTACAGGGAAGTTTTGGAGAGCGGACTGGCGCGCTCCCGGGAGCTGGGGAGTTCGGAATCCAGCCTCCAGGACATTACCGAGGGCAGTGGCCACTGTCCGGTGCATCTGTTTAAGGACCACGTGGACAGCGACAAGGACAAACTGAAAGAGTTCGGCACGGGGAGGGCTGCGGAAGGTAAGCTCGCGCCGGACGCCGCTGCGGGCCCCTCTCGGGGACGGCGTCTCCTCGCCACCGAGCCTGCCCGCCTGGCCCTCGCTCCGCGCGCGGGGAGGCCCCGGGCGCCGCGGCTCGCTCAGAATTCCACCCCAAACTCTGCATTTACGGCCGCGCTCGGACGGAAAGACCCCGGCAACCCATCGCCAGTCTTTGCGTAAGAAAGAAAGGAAACGCGGACACAGGAAGGCAGGCCAGGGGGGCCAAAGATGAGCAGGGGCCGGGGCCAAGCGCTCTTGAGGACTGGCTTCCCCTGGGCGTTGGCACAGGACGTCGCAGCGGGAACTTTCCCGGGTTGGGGTCCATCGGGCGGATGTGCCTGAAAACCGAGGTCGGCTGTAGGGGCTGTTGGGCGCGTTGCCTGTCTGCCGGCCTGAGTCGACTCCCCAGTGCGCGCGAGGAGAGGTCCACACGCATCTCTCGCAGCGCCCACCGCCTCCCCGCGTCCCGAGCGGTTGAAACGGGCAGGCGTTGAGGACGTGCTGGCGGGTGGGCCCAGAGCTAACGCGCGCAGTCGCCTCTCCTGCCTGCCGAATCCTCTTAGGGAAAACTTTCCCCTTGAACCTTGAGACTTGATCTGGGCTGACGCGGGCCTCTAAATTAAAACCACTCCCACGCCCGCAGGTGGCCAGGGTCTGGACGCGAAGTGAGGGGCCCCGGGAAGCTCGTGGTGGGGCGCGCTCGGTCGCCGGACCCCAGGCTGTCAGAGCGCAGCCGGCCCTGCGGCGGGAGGACGGCGCGTCCTGGGCCTGGGTCTCCTTCCTTTCGAGATAACGTTCGCCGCGGTTCGCCCTGTTGCTGAATCGGGGGGCGGGGGGGTGGACACAGCAAGTTTATGGTGTCTCTCCCAGCTGGGCAGGGGTAATCCCAACCCCGGGGATCTCTGAGCAAACAGGGCGACCAGCAGCGGTAAATCAGAGGCATAAAATGGGCTGGATTTCTCAGGGGGCACAGTTTGAAACTGCTCGGAATGTCTATTTTTCATTACAAAGAGGAAATACAGAGCCTTACCATTCGCCTCCGCAGGCCCTGTTCCACTAGCTGTCAGCGTGATGGTCCCCCTACAAGTAGACCTCCCCCCCACACACACCTCCCCCGACGCAGGAAGCCCACTCTCCTGCTCTTTGGGACGCTACACTTGGGGTCTCCGAGTGCAGAGTCCCAGGCCATGGCCTTGAAACGTTGCTGATGACCCAGATGTCTTTCGGAGGCCTTGACCCGGGGAAGCAGCAAGCTGCCAGAGGCTTACAGATCCGCCCCTGACCGCTGGCCACCCAGGTGGCCTGGACCGGACCTGTCTTACCTCAGGGTGCCCCCCCTTGGGCACTGCCGGGTACCCCTGACTCTCTAATTCACACAGAGTTGGCTTTAATGAAGACACAGCTGTCAGCTGGATGCGACTCAGGGCCTACACTGAAGTTCTACATGACAGCACCCAGGGCCGACCTCCGTGGCTCCTGACCGGTTCCCCCCAAGTCCTTCCTAGAGGTCGGGCCCCTCCTTGTCCCGCCTGCCTCCTTTCACCCTGATTGCTGAGGCAGTGGACCCCGGAAAAGGGGGCCTCGGAAAGAGAGCGGAGTGCAGTCAGGGCCTTTGAAAAAGGAGAGAACAGAACTGGGTTGCCTCTCAGCTGTGCCTTCCCCTCCCTCGGCTGGCGGAAGACCCCTTGCAGGGCTGAACCCCAGGCTGCATTGGTAAGATGGGAGCCAGATGGAAGTGTGGGAGATCTTGGGGTTCCAGCAGAAACCCGGAGGTCTTGGGCTCCTGCACAGCGCGTCCCGCGCTGCCGAGGAAGGGACTCTGTGGATTTTGCAAAGCTTGCCGAGGGTTCTTAAGGACTTTGAAGGCCAGCTTCTCAGCTGGGATCAATCCCTGGGGTCAGACTTCAGAGACAGGGAGGAAGGAAGAGTGGGGGGGGGCGCCTCTAGGACAGGATTTACGACTGGGAAGAAATGGGGTGTTTTTGGAAATGCGATGCTTTCAGGAGGTGGAAGGGAATTTAAAAATCCAAGCTGGGGTTAAGTGCCAATGCTCAGGGGTCTTGATGCTGCTGAGGAGGCAGACTCAGGACTGGGCTTCTGGTGTGCAGCTCAGGGATCCTGGATGGGGGAGCAGGGGAGCAGGATTACCCCCTCTTCCCACAGCCGCTTTCGGTGTTTCCCTCTTAGTACGTTTCTGGGCTGAGTCATGGAGACCCCTTCTCTGCTTCAGACCTGGGGGCTCTTTGGCTAGAGCCTCCTGAAGGCTAGCCTCTTCTTGACAGCAGGGGACATCTAATTAGGGCACAGAGATGCTCTGTGCCTGTGCCCAGCAGGTTCCCTGATGCAGAGAAAGCACCGGGAGACCCAGGCACTGGGGAGGTGCAGCTTCTTACCCGATGCTTGAGCCCCCTCCCGTCAGGAAATAGAGATGCTATCATCGTTTTTGGATTAAGAAAGTACCACTGTTGGTGCCCTGGTGGCTTGTGTGCCGCACCGCGTGTGAATATATGTGTAACAGAGAGAGTGAGAGAGACCGCAAAGAGGGTGTCTTGCACCGTTGCACGCCCCCCCCCCAGACACCATGCTGTGCCTTAGGATCTGAGTTTTGCTCTCGGAGTCTGAAGAAGAGACCAGGGTGGGGGCCGCGTGCATTCAGCTCCACCGCCTCCTCCGGAGGGAGGCTCCGACCCGCCTGGCGCGGCCCCTGTCCCGCTGCGGAGCAGCGGAGGGCAGCGGGGTTCCCGGGCCTGGACCCCAGCGTGGCCTGGGCCCGCCGCACACCCTTCGCGGGGCCCGAAACTCGGGCCACTCTGCCCAAACTTCTTTGACTTAAAATAATATTTAACACCCCACTCCCGAGAGGCAAGGGCGGGGGGGGAGAAGGATAGGGTATTGTCAATATGTCAAGAGGCAAAGTGGAAAAATTAAGGAAACCATGGCGAGACTAGGCCAAGAAACACGGCGCCGCCAACGCCCGAGTTATTACCAAAGAGCGTGTGTTCCCCTGGAGGCCGCTTTTTCGACTTGACGCAGCCCCGCGGTCAGGGCGCCTTTGCCGCCGGGGCCCCTTGCTCCGCAGGCACACACTTGGATTTTAGCAGCGTGGCGCAAAAGCCCGCGCCGCGGGCCTCTTTCTCGGGCGCACGGCCCCGCGGGCCCTGGCAGGCAGGGACGGGCAGGGCGCTGTGCGGGAGCCGTGCGCGCTCAGCCCTGTGCCCTCGGCCCGCCCGCAGGTATCTACGAGTGCAAGGAGAAGCGGGACGACGTGAAGTCGGAGGACGAAGACGGCCAGACGAAGCTGAAACAGAGGCGCAGTCGCACCAACTTCACGCTCGAGCAGCTCAACGAGCTGGAGCGGCTCTTCGACGAGACCCACTACCCCGACGCCTTCATGCGCGAGGAGCTCAGCCAGCGCCTGGGGCTCTCGGAGGCGCGCGTGCAGGTAGGAGAGCGCGGGGCCGGCCCCCGCCACCCGGGCCTCGCCGGGCCCCCCGAGGGAGCGCGGCAGCTCGGCCGGGGCTGCAGGCCCCTTCCCGGAGTGCGGGGAGACTGTGAGCGGGCTGGCGCGCCGGGCCTTTCGGGCGCGGCCCTCGCAGGCGGGTCGCTCGGTTCGTACGAAGGGGGAGGGCCCTGCCTGAGCTGGCGGCCCTCCACGTCCAGGTGGTCGGGAATTGGGATGCCTGTTCACCTCTTTCCGCTGGTTCTGTTCCTCTCCTCCTCCGTGCCGCGGCCCTCAGCCCCCTCCCTCCCACTCCCGGGAGGGAAGGCGAGGGGCGAGGCGGGGGGAGTCGCGCACACTGGGCATCTTGATGAGCGCGGCTGCGGCCCGCGCGGGGCCGGATTAGCCTGGGCGCGCGGGGTGCGGGGCGGCGCGGGCGCATGAATTCATGATGCCCCATCTGGCGAGCCACTGTCGGAGGGGGGCTCTGGGCGTGCACAGCACGTGCGCGGAAGGGATCCTCTGGCAAGCCTTTCCCGGGCATGAGGAACGTTCCCTTAAATTTATTAATGCATTAATGGGTGGCAAAGATCGGCTTCCAGCTCGCTTCCTCCGGGATGGTGCAGACCCCAACTGGGAGGTCGGGCCTGGAAGCTCCCCGTCCTTACTCACGGCTCGGAGCAGGATAGCAGCGCCAGGGAGAGAAGGAAAGGGGGTCAACATCCCCGGGCTCTGGGGACCGGTTTTAAATAAACGGAATTAATATTGTCAAGCGGGGAGGGGGGTGGCCGTGAAAAGCCCAGCGCTTTGAAGGCCCAGGGTTCCCGCTGCTTAGAAGATCAACACATTCAAACACCACTCCCCTCCCACCCCCAGCTGACTTAGGAAACGAAAACACAAACGTGTGTTATAGATAGTGTTTTACGAAATTTTTAATTTGAAAAACATTTTTTTTTTTTTTTGATCTCAGCCCCCTTTCCATCTTCCTGTTCGGCTGCCGTAAATAATAGGCTTTCTTAGGTTGAAATGCAATATTCCGCAGCCTTGTTCAGCTCTTGTCCGCAGAGCCAGCCGACACAGAATCTTGCTGCAAGGTGGGACACTCCCCCCCTCCCGCGCCCACAGAGTAGCCCTGGCCAACCTCTTCCCGGAGGGTCCAGGCGGATGGGTCATCTGTGGCCCCAGCGAAGGGAGGTGGCTGAGGCTGAGGGTGTCTTTTCCGGCTGGCCACCCTTCTCGGGGAAGATGGATGGGGCTGCACCGTATAAATTAATGAAAAGATTAAACTTTCGCTGAAGGGGACATCAACTTTTATGTCATCTTCCCAGTGTCTTTCTGCCTGGGATCTGTAATATCTCCCAGGCCTTGATGTACTGTTTCTATAAAAATAAATTACTTCTAATTTAATTGTACACTATTTCTTTCACCAGTCTATTACAGAGTAACACCTTAGCAGGAGGGACGGAGTGGCAGGAAATTGGTTCTTGGGTGCTTGCAGATCTTGAGAAAGCCCTAAAATATCAAGGGGGTGAGGACGGGGGTGGGGGAGAGAGACGCGAGTGGCTATATCCATCCAGAGGTGAATTAAAATTTAACGACTGTAAATAATAATAAAAACAAACATGGGAATAGAAGAAATCATTTTCTTTTGGCCACGGGGGTGAGAATCGCATGGTAAAGGGGTGGCAGACGGGCTCATAAAAATCAATTAGTTAAAATGAATGGGTCATCCCACAGAAGGTGCGGAGGTCTGGGGGGGTGGCGGGAGCAGGGGGACAAGAAGGGACTCTGGTTTTATTCCTGTCTCCGAAGTGTTCGGTAATCCTTTTCGGTACAGCCCGTCCTGTGTTGTTAAAGGATAGAGTTTCAATTTAGTGTGGAAATTTGCTGTAAATAAATTGGGGATCCTATGGAAACTGGTCCTTATTAACCTTTTATTTTTACTGTCACCGTGGCACCTCATATCATGCAGCTGTCAGGGTTATAATGGAAAGTTATGAGACCACAGTGAGGAGCACGAGGTAATTTAATTACAACAAATATCTTTGGGTTTATGGCGCAGAGCTAAATTAAATGTCATTATTCACTGTCTGTAATGGAAATCAAAAAGAAATCAGATTACACCATTTGTGAAAGAAATCAGTGAGTGGCCCTTAATGAAGATATAACCGCTTAACCAGTGTACTGCGCTTTACTTAGCATATTCAGGACTAATTGGAATTGATCGTGAATCACCCCAAGACTGATTTATTATGGCTTCGCACACTGGCTAATTCATCACTTTTATTCTTCATAATCGCATTGCCCCCCCGACCCCCCCACACCCCCCACTACACGACAGCGCTGAAAGGAAAGTGAGCTTTGCTTTCCAGATTTCAAGAGGATTCTGTTTTTGAAAAATGCCCTTCCAGGGCACAGAGTTTGCTCTCCTGAGGACTGGGTCCGACCCCGAGGAGAGGGAGGAACTCAGGACAGGGTCCAAAGGGGTCCAGGTCGACCAGGGGTGGTGGTGGTGCCAGGTGTGGGGGGGAGTTGGATGTGGAAGTTTGTTGTGTGTGTGGGGAGGAGAGGAGGAATGTCAGTGAAGGCTTTGCAAATGCAAGGGAGGGTTTGTGGACTTGGACTCGGGTGCAGAGGGAGAGGGGTGACAATTTGGGGATTACTTTTCAGGGGAACAAGCTTAAACTTTTCCAAGCTCCCTGTAGCCCATTGGCATGAGCTTTGGAACCTCTGGAAAGCCAGTTCTCACAGGCGGGCGATGGCTCAGCTGTGCATAAAAACCCTCTTCTTAAGAGTCTGGGAAGGAAAAGTTAAGGTTTCTAGTCTCCCGGGTCTGCCGGGTGTGCCGAGGTTTCTCTGTGCGTGGTGGGAGTCTGGGGGGGGTGGCAGCCCCATGCCCTGCTTGGAGCAGCGGGCCCTCAGGCACCCAGGCAGAGTAGCCCAAGGGAAGGGTTTCTTTGTGCCAATTATTCCACGTGGTCACTGACCACCATCTCGGCCATGAGGGTCAGTGAGAACGGCAGGAGAGCTTCCGGAGGAGAAAACGTTAGGAAAAATTCAGTGGCTAAGAATTTGAAGGGAGGGGCCTCCAGATTTCTCAGGCAGAGCCTGAGGGTGTTCAAGGACCAGAGCTGTCTGGAGGAGAGGCGGAGTGTGTGACCTTGGGGAGCAGGGAGGAGGCTTTTGGGGGGGAAATCCTGGGCACCCAAATTTTGACATCAGACCTGTGCATCTAGCTGAACTGAGAAGGGTCCCACTGATATCCTTATTCCAAGAATTAGATTTTTTTTTTTTTTTTAGAGAAGATAGTGCCCGAAGTTATGGGGGTGCCCCGGCCTTTCTGGATCCAGGACGTTCATGACTCCTTAATATTAACGGGGACCCCCCAGGCTTCCAAGGAGGGCATGGAAGTTGCTGGAGTCGGGGTGTCCCGAGTTCGACTGGGGAAGGGGCTGCATTTGAAGCTACTTATCAGCCTGTGTGCCCCCTTCCTTGGCGGCTAAGGTTTCAGAGGAGGAAGGTCAGGCTCTCCCAGGGGCTGGCAGAGTGGAGCAGGGAATGCCCACACTGATCATGGAAAGTTCTCGAATCCGCCCTGCACTCCTTCACTCGATGTGGATGTTGAGGCTCACCTTGGGGACCAGACAGGGCCCAGAAGTGAGTTTGGGAATTCCCAGCTCTAGGTCGCCAGGTATGGTGGGGCTGGGTTGGGAGAGGAGGGGGCGCGGGAGAGGGCTCTATTGCTCCCTGAGTCGCACGGGCCCCTGCGCCTTGGCGCCTTGGGAACCGCGCGCGTCCCCAGCGCCGCAGCGTCTACCGTCGTGGGGGCGAGAAGCCCCAGCTTCGGAGGAGGCCGGCGGGCTCACGGGGCTGCGCGCGTCTGTCTCCTCTGTCCTCAGGTTTGGTTCCAGAACCGACGAGCCAAGTGCCGCAAGCAGGAGAACCAGATGCATAAAGGTGGGTGGTGCGGAGGCTGACGGTGGAGGTGGGCAGCACTTGCAGCGGCCGCCGGGGTGCGCAGAAGACCCTGGCGGCCTTCCATGGCTCCTTTCTTCCCTTGCAGGCGTTATCCTGGGCACCGCCAGCCACCTGGACGCCTGCAGGGTGGCGCCCTACGTCAACATGGGCGCCCTGCGAATGCCTTTCCAACAGGTAGCCCGTTTTTCTTCCTTCTGAGCCGCGCGCGGGGGCCCGCCACTTCCCCGCCTCCCTGGCGTCCTGTCTCACCCGGCTGCTCCCGCCCCCGCGGAAGAAAGGCTGCCGCTTTTACAAGGGGGCATTTATAGACCCGTTGGCACCTATTAAAATCACGCTGTAAAACTCCAAGACTCACCTTTGGGAGGGCCAGGAGAGAAACCCAAACACAATTTTACAAAAATCGGAGTGAAAAAAAAAATCCCACCCACCCAGGCTGCCTGGTTGGGAGTGGAGGGGCGGGGATGCTCGCACTCGGGTGTGAGGCCCTGCGTGTATACCCAAACCCCAGCTGGCCTGCCCCATGGCCTCAAGGGGAGGTGTGTGCACCCCGCTGTAGCTGGTGTGTGCACCCCACTCCCCACCTCAGAGCTGGGATCCTGGGGCTCAGGATCTCAGGATCCCCGTGCGCAAAAGCTGTTCTGCGTGGACGTGGGGTGGCTAGGGTGTCAGAAGGCCCCAGGGCCGCACCCTGCTTGGGGCCATATACTGGTGGATGGTGGAAGCTGCGTGGGGGAGGCCCAGGGTGAGAGCGCAGAGCCCACGCGTTCCCTGCCCCGCCCCAGCGCAGGACCTGAGGGTGCTCCCGTTGGGGTCCCAACGTTGGGGGACGTAGAGCGCGTACGCTGGGGGAGCAGGGGTGCTCTGGGTGGAGCCAAGGCGTGGCCACCACCGCACCGAGCTGTTTTGCTCCAAGGATCAGGCCTGGGTTTATATTTGGATCCGTGTTTGCTAGGGGCCTCTGCGGCTCAGCTAGGGCATGGGTGGTGGTGGTGGGTCAATGAATAGACACCCGAGACTTGGAGCGGGTGCTCGAGCCTTGTGCTCTTGGACTCAAGGTGCCCAAAGCGGTTAAGGGCGTCCAGGGCATGCGCGGGGGCCCTTTCATTTGGCCTCGCCCACTCCGCGCGCGCGGGGGCGGGGGTGCCCTCTTATGTCCCCGCCCCTGCTCCACTCCTTCCCCAGGGCGGGGCGGTCTTTCCGCGTTACAGAACTGCTGCCCCGACTTGGGGTCAGCCATGGGGTCTTTGCTGAAATTCGGCCCTTGGAGCACAGACCCGTCGCCATGCTCCTCATGGATTCAGAGACGCCCCTGGGAGGGCGGTAGTAAAGAGGAGTCCAGAGCCTGCCTCGGGGACATCTCACAGGTTCAGGGAAATTGAGGCTTTCGTGAGGAGGGGATGCTGCCGAGGACACGGGTGTGGGCGCCACAGGGGTGGGTGAGTGTGAGGTCTGTTCCGATTCTCCAGCTCTCCTTGTGCACGGCAGCCAGGGGCCCCGGCGTTCACGGGTGTCCAGAGGACAGTTCCGACTGCCCTGGCTGGTGGAGGCTGGGTGGTGGTCCCCGGGGTGCGGGAAGGGGACTCCCAAGGGTCCGTCGGGGCGGGAAAGCCCCGCTTCTCAGCCGTCCTAACTGTGCCAAGTCTGCCCTCCCAGGTCCAGGCGCAGCTGCAGCTGGAGGGCGTGGCGCACGCGCACCCGCACCTGCATCCACACCTGGCGGCGCACGCGCCCTACCTGATGTTCCCGCCGCCGCCCTTCGGGCTGCCCATCGCGTCGCTAGCCGAGTCGGCCTCGGCCGCCGCTGTCGTGGCTGCCGCCGCCAAGAGCAATAGCAAAAACTCCAGCATCGCCGACCTGCGGCTCAAGGCGCGCAAGCACGCCGAGGCCCTGGGGCTCTGACCCGCCGCCCGCCCCGCGCCCAGCCCCGGCCCCACGACCCCGCCCGCGCTGCGTCCTGCACTCGAATCCTCCGCGCCCCGCGAAGGCCGCACGGACGTCCTGGAGCGAGGGCGCAGGCCCTGGCGCAGCGGCCTCCCCGCCTGGGGCTGCCCGGGGGCCCACCCCTGGCCCAGGGAGGGGGCCTCCCGGGACCTCACGACCCCTGCAGACCCTCGCAGAGACTGTGCGGAAGAGAGCAGGTGACGGTCAGACCAGCCAACCCAGCCCTCGGCCACGCGGTCTGTGCGTCCTGGGACCCTGGGCCACGTGGAGCCCCGCGCGCCCTCCTCTGTTGCCGGCGTTCCTACCCTGTGCATGCGGCCTCTCACACACCTTTCGAAGATCATAGAGTCGATTACACAAGAAGATCTGGGGCTGGTCTCCGCCGAAGATGCCAATTCTTGGTCGCTAACAGTTTTATGCGCTGCCAAGAAGTTGTTTTCATCCGAGGAGGAGGAGGTGCGGGACGGGAATGGATTGCAACGTGGACTTCCCCTGCCAGACTAGGGGCCCGTGTTCTGCAGCAATAAGGAAATGCGTCTGCCGACCTCGGGACAAGGTGGGGAGGGGGTGGGGGAGACCCCAATCTCCCACGTTGTCACCGTATGTTTTTTAGAGGGGACCTGGATTACGAGCACGGTTTTCATGCACACGTTTGGCCCCCAAAACACCGAATTTAGGATTCCTTCTTGTGCCATAGAGCAGGCGACTTTATAACTTTTCCAGTATTTGACCCGAATTGACTTTTTTGGGGGGGGCTGTTTTACAGAATTCAGACGCAAATAACTTGCATAGAGACACAGGGGCGCGTGGTTTTAAGGTATAATACTGATGCAGCATTAAGTTTAGTGAAATGCAATTAAGTGCAGTAAAGTGCAATACTGTAAATGTTATAGATTTAAAGAAAAAATAGCCGTGCACTCTTGACCCCGTCAGCTTCGGACTTGTAAGGGCATTACCTTCTCCTGCATGCTGCGGGCCTGGCCGACTGGGGTCCATCGCCAAAATGATGGGGGGTGGGGTGTAGTGTGCTCTGGATCTGGAGGAGTTGAGGTGTGTGGTATGTGATAAAGCAGGACCCCCGGGGGCCGGGGGGGGGGTGGGGTGGGGGGGAAAAAGCCAGGATGTGAAGCCTGTGGCTGAGCTGTTTCTGGGAAAAGAGGCTGACACAGGTCCTCCAGGCTGTGAGTTTTAAGCTCACGTTTTGTAGTGGTTAGTCTGTTCCAGGTTTGATTTCTTCTTTCTCCCTGCGTCCTCCCCCCCACCCCTCTCCACGGCCCCCACCGATTGTGAAAGCATCAAATAGCAAATTATTTTCTAGAAGCTGGTATGGAGTGGGAAACTTGCTGGAAACGACAGAACCAAAGCGTGAGGGTCCCCAGTGATGCCCCTGAGTTGGGGGCAATGTGCTTTGCATGTAGTGTAGGGGATCTGGGGGGGGGTGGGGCGCGAGCCGTAGTGCTGGGCTGGTCTACCTCGAAGATACCACGCCTGTGTTTTTGCCTTAGTCACCCAGACCTGCCCAGAAAACGGAAGCCGCTTCCTCCGTCATTCCCACCAGCGGCTCACTGGCCATCCCCTAGCGTTTCCTGAACTTCTCCGGTTATTCACTCTCGTTCCAAAAGAGGTTTTGACCTTTCCAGATTTGGCATTGGCGATGTTCTTTCCTTTACCCCTGAACTTTGGTATATTTTTCCAAGAAAAAAAATAATTTTTTTTTCCTTCCATGTAAGGGAACATTTTCTACGTTTTCATGGAGCTGAACTGTGGATGCATTCGGACATGTCTCATTTGTGTCATCTGAAACTCTTAATACAAATCAAGAGATCCCTTCAGCTTTTTAAAATTTTTTTATTTTTAAAATTTGGAAATTTTAGTAAAGCTCTAAAATGACAGAGAGAGATGAAGGAAGCAAGGTCAGGATTTTTAAATCACTTGCAACCTTTTTCCCCCCCCAGTTATAGAGTTAGCCTCCTCGTATGTGCAGTCTGGCTTCTAAACAGCTGTGAGTTAAAAGGAAAAAAAAGAAGAAGAAGGTCATATAAATAAGCTGGAATTTTCCTTTAAATGCAAACAATGCATTTCGAACCCTTTAAAGCTAGTGGCATTCGTCCTAAAATTTAACACTTGGCAAAGGTTGCAGGTAAAATGTGTATGTCCTTATTGTTTTTTTCCAAAAAAGCTTATAATAATTTTTTTTTATCTGAACATAGTCCTCATAACCACTCCCTCCCCAACAGAAAACTCACTGCCCGTGAACAGAAAGACACAGGGTCGGATCCTGGCAGAATATAAAGTTTTAACATAGAGCTGCATGCTCCTGACCCTGCTGGGAGGCTGGTAGCATGAGGCCTGCTGGATGGGGGACATCTAATGCTTGTTTTTGCCTTTCTTTTTGCTTTCTTTTGTCTGATTTAACATGGAAAGTGAGCCAGGTATAACCCTCACAAATGGGACGCTCCCCAAAACAAAACCAAGCCAGCAAACCGTATGGGTGGCATTTACTGTGGAGACTGGCTGACCTCGTGCGTCCACCTGGAACGGAGTCGGGGAGACGCTCTGCACGCGTGGCCCATGGCCCGTGACTCCAGCTTCTTCTTTCTCCCAGAAAGTCGGAGAGAGACAAGCAGATGGGATTCTCAGTTGAGTTGGGGGAGGGGGTCCACTCCTCACACTGCACCTCTGTGCCCCACTTCCTTTCTTGTGGGATGCAGAGCCCGCCAGGGACGGGATGTGTGTGCGTCCCCGGTCCACCGGGTCCTCATCACCCCAGAGCCAGGGCATCATTCTCACCCATGTGCACGCATGTGCTGTGGTTTGACTCGTTTTTCTGCAGGGTGTAAGAAATTAAACGTGCAAGGCAGATGCCTTTGGGTTGTTGTCGGTGTTTTCTGCTCAAAACGAGACCTCTTTCCAAGTCGTGCACGTTACTTCCATATAGCGTGTGGGCCGGCGTGTTGGGCTCAGTGAGCGGCATCACATAGAAAGCATGTTGGGGAGCGTTGCGTTTTCACGCCATTGGATGCAAGAATATTGGGTTGTCAAACCTCCGTGAAGGCTGATGTGGGTGCCCAAGCATGCCTCTCGAGCTGTGGGCTGGTTTTCATGGGCACCGAGCTTGGAGTTTTATTTGCCAAGATGGGTTGAGCCTCGAATGCTTTTTCTTTTTCTTTTTTCTTTTTTTCCTTTTTCCCGAAACCTTGGCCAAAGAGTACTTTTAGGATGGATATCGCCCCGGTTTGGCAACACGGAGTTCTGGTGAGATGTTGTCATTACCTTTCGATCTTCCTTACGGAATCGGGTTTTCCTTCCTTCCGGTGTGTGTTGTGCGAGACAGCGACAGATTGTGTCCTGGGGGAAGGTTCCAGAGTCTCCGGATGTTGTGCGCTGGGTATGCTTTACTAGCTGAAGCATGTGATGCATGCGCATACTTGGAGCCACTCCCAAAATTGCTAGGATTCAGAGGAACGACGCCTTCTCGAGGGAACAGGGGTGTCCTTTTGTTGTAGGCCGGTTGGGATGCCGCTCACTATGGTTTTTTCACAATCCCCGAACCACAGGGCTGGGCCAGACGGGGTTTCCGTAGCATTCACAGGACCAGCAAGCGGATCCAGGACATGTATTGGTGACGTTGCAAACTCTGCCACCTGAGTGGGTTGGCATCCTGCACGAGGGGGGTGGGCCTTCTGAGCCTCCGATGCTCCCCCCTGCTCTACCAATGGTGGTGGACGGAATGTCCACCCCACCTCGCTCCAGTCCAAGCTGCACCCCTGCGGCGGCGCCCCTCTCCTGGCAAGCCTGACTTTCAGGTGTGGGCTCGTTTGCTGGGCCACGAGCCTCTGTGGTCTGTGCTGTGTCGGGTGGCGGGAGGACGTCTGGATGTTTCCGCAGGAAAGAGCAGATACCCCTTCAGCACTGGTGTCCAGCTCATGGCCACCGCCGTCCTTCTGGGCTCACGATGGGAAGAAAATCTCAGCCTCCTCTGCTCCCGTACTCGGCTTCCAGTCTCATATTTTAATACTTCTCGTCGTGCAAGGACACACCCCCTTTTCCTGGGAGTTTTTCATGGAGGGGCTCAGAGGAGACTATAGAGGCTGACTACAATGACAGAAAATTTTTGAGGCACTTTGCTCCTTCACGTTCGGGGAGGTCAGGGCGGGGGAGGGCTTCTCAGTCGACAACTTGGACATTTGAAAAACTGGTGCCTAATTTATTAAAAAAAATTAGCTTAGGAATATGCTGATTTTTCAATACACGTGAAAACTTGATGCAATTTATAAATGTTTTATTGAAATTTGATATTTAATGAGAAATCAGTTGAGGAATGTAGAAAATATCAAGTTTCAACGCTATGACGTGAGCTATTTATTGAAAGGTGATAGTTTGACAACCGAGCCCCCATTGTATGGAGAGGTCCCATCAGACAGAGGCAAGGTTCTCTGCTCCTTGATATTGGATGTATGTGGATGTGTTATTTATTTTTTCTTTGAGTTGAAAGTTCATAAATATGTGCTATTTTAATTATGTTGAGTGTAAATTTGACATTGCCTTGCATTTATTTTTATATTTTTAAAGCCTGTTGCTTTTCTCACACCCCCCCCCTTTTTCCTCCCCGAATTTATGACCAGCCAGTATGATTTATGGCATGGCAAAAGTGTTTGGGTTATGCATACAAGGTGTGTCTGGACCTACAGACGTTTTCAGGGATTGCTCAAACGAAATGAAATAACACAAGCTATCCCAAACCGACGGTCTTTAAAACCCCTCTCCCTCTGCTATTGTGGGGGAAAAAAACATTCTGGAGGGGTTTTGGTTTTGTTTTGTTTTGGTTTTTTTTGGGCCATATGCTTGCAGGTTCGTAACACAAAATGCCCTCATGTTTAGTTCTAGTGACAAAGTGTATTTTGTCAAACCATATAGTATGAATGTACATCTTGTAAAACGGAGATATAAATAAACTT